CAGAGTCGGTCTCTGAAGATGCAGATTGTTCTCCATGAAGAGCTCCACAGCACCACTGCAGCTCCTGAACTCATAAAAACCTGTTCAATGTTTAGCTTGGTCCTGTTCAGCACTGCAGCCTCCATGGTGGTGAAGTGGAGACCTGCAGGAACGTCTGCCTGCAGCTCTGATCAGATGCTTGAGAATGGCTCAAGATGATGTCACAAAACTAAAAAAATTAATGCACAAATTTAATTTAGTATGTAGATGGCTACAAGTGAACTTTATAATACTCAATAAATAGAAAACAACTGAAGTTATGAAAACACATGTTAATTTATTAACAACAAATTGTTGCACCTCTAAAGTATTATATTATATTATATTATATTATATTATATTATATTATATTATATTATATTATATTATATTATATTATATTATATTATATTATATTATATTATATTATATTATATTATATTATATTGTATTATATTGTATTTATTTAAAGCTGTGTTAACAATTATTAAACAGTTTAACTATATTATACTATGATTAAAAGCACAACTATATTATAGCACTACTACCATTAAAAGCATTACAAAAGTATTTTAACTTTTTTCTTACCTGTTTAAATCCATGCTGGGTCAGATCCTGATGCTTTAAAAACGAGGCAATGAATCAAAACAAACCATTAGCCTCGCTAAAAGCAGTTAGCTTAGCCTGTTGCTAATCCAGTTCTTGGAAAATAATGCAGTGTAAACTCTCCTCCCTCTGTCTTTGTTCTGCTGCTTTTCTCTTCCAGCACAGTTCCATTTGAATCAGTTATAAGTTACTATGAGCACAAACATCTGCAGAGAAACCAGGAACATGGTCTGAAAAAATGACAATAATATTGGAAATATGTATCCAATCATCCTTTGCTAACCAGTTTTATTACGTGTTTTGATATTTAGGACTCAAAAATGAAACCAAATATGGGTGTAGTGTGTATCCTGAACAAGTTAGTAGTTATTGACTTTTATGAGGTTTAATTATTTTTTTCAAGTTTTAAATGAATTATAAACAAATAAAAAAGTAAGAGGTTTACTAATTTCATCTCATCATCAACTGCAGTAAAAAAAAAAACAAAAGTTAGAAAAGTTAGTTTATTTTATAAGACACTTTAAGCTAAAACAAAGCTTTGCCTCTTTGATCCAGCACAGAAATAAAACCATTAAAAAGTAAAACATGTGGAAGTGGAGTGGAGGTTGATGGCAGATAAGCACAGCAACAGCTGCACAGGACCGGCTCAGAGCGAGGGAACATGTCAGCGATGCCCACCGTTCACCATTAACGTGCCGTTCAGCTTGTAAGACCCCCCTCATCCCTCCCTGGCTTTCTGAGCAGCTGTCGAGCCTTTCTTCCATGCCTATGGTTGTTTTTTTTTCTTTCCTTTCTCTCTTTTCATGCATGTTTTTTTAATTCTTGTGTTTCAAAAACGCGTGAGATAATTCAGCTTTTGCTTCATGTGTTCATTCCATTTGGCAAACTTTTTTTTTCCTGATGCATAAAGACAACGGGACTCGCTGAGCTGCACTTGGCAGCTGCAGGCTCCACATTTCACTGTTCTTTTTTTATTGGAGAACAAAACTATAACTCTACCCAGCTAATCTGATTCAGACTGAGATACTGTATGAGTTAAATCACAGAGAATAAGATATAATCTTTATAATAGGGTTGCACATCACAATAACAAAACACACACTGTCAAATATACTGTATATACAGTAACCAGAAGAATATGGAGAATTATAGGAGTGTAAAAAATCGTGATACTTAATTTCCTGATACTGTATCAAAATTTAATTCAGGCTGAATGCATGGATGTTGTGAGATGTGAAACACAAATGCAGCTCTCAAAGTTATTCTGATTGCATAAAAGTAAACTGAAATAATGAGACTTTCTGCATGTAATGTGTGGTGAGCTCTTTATACAGAGTTTTTTAAAAAACTATACTTAAAGTGTATCTTACCCCCTTGTGAAAAGATAACTCTGCCCCAAGGCAAAATTTGAAAAATGCATCAAAGTGGGTGGGGAAGGTGGGGTTAGAGAGCGGAGGTGTGGCCAGGACGAGAGAACGTGACAGCTAGCATTAGCATAATTGATGCTACATGGAACGTGACCACAGTATCGCAGATAGTTACATCTCTGAACGGTCTGAGGTGGAGGATTTTCACCCCACACCAGCCTCGGACAGAGGAGGAGGAGCGCTCCGACAGTCTGACAGAAAAAAATAAAAGCATACAGCTGCAGCTGCTCACAAGATCACTAGTTTAAATCAGGAATAAAAGTGTTGGGTCTTGTTTGACTGAAGCTCGGTCCGGTTCGCATACATTTCAACCTCTTTGGATGTTTATAACTTACAATCTGTACAAGTTGACATGTATGGGTTCGGGCTGAAGCTGCCCCACTGCCTTTCTTCCCCTCCGCCCCTCTCGCTGTGCAGGACGTACTGCTGGTGTGTGTGTGTGTGTGTGTGTGTGTGTGTGTGTGTGTGTGTGTGTGTGTGTGTGTGTGTG